GACAATGGTTACACCTCTACAGATTCATCATTCAGTTTCTTAATCAGGGACGATGGCATTGATGAAGATTGGTGGCGGCTGGCTCGGCGGTGGAGGAAGAACCAAGCCACGGAGATTAAGACTAGGAAGAAAACAGAAGCACCAATTCCGGCTCCCAGGAAAACCCACTTGCGAGAAGAACCACCTTCGTCAGAGGGGGTGGTGGGAAGGGTCGGTGGACAAGGAGAAAGAGGCGGCGACGGGGGTATAGCCTTGATATTTTCCTTGGTGGGTTCTTTAGTGAACTGCTTTTTTTCCCAAAGCTGAAAAGAGTCGCAATTGATGATTTAAGTAGATTTATAAGTTCAGTAATTTCATTTTTTCCGTTTGTGGAAGTGGAGGAACACTACGAGGGAGACAATGGCGACAACAGCAATAATGAGCTTAGAGGAGGCAGATTTGGACTTAGCAAGTTGGGGGAGATTGAGTGACGAGATATTCGTCGGGAAGGAATGGAGTGTTGTTTAGATGGCTCGGGCGCCGATGCAAACAACAATGGTGGCTGGAAGGTGGAGGTGGTGGATGAAGCTCAGGGAAGGAGATGAGGAGAAAATGGGAGAATTTTTTTTTTTTTCCTTTTTTCCTTTTGGTTATTTTTAATATTTTCATAAGTTTTGGATTGATTTGCATTTTAAAAAAGTTTAAAAGCAAATTGCAATTTATTCTTTATTTTCATTTTCTTTTCCTTTTTGTTTTATTTAAATTGAAGGGTATATCAGTCATTTTATGTTAAAAATTAAGGAAAATGATGTTTTGCGCAAGAAAATACATAGGTAGGGACGTTCTACACCAAAAAATCAAACGTAGGGACGTTTTTCCACACAACCCGTCATAGGTAGGGATGTTTTGCGCCAATTACCCTTTAAAAAACATGGAACTTTAACTGTAATATTTCTTTTTAATATTCTTTCTTTCTTTCTTTTCTATTTGTGTATTTAAAAGAAGGGTAAATTAGTCATTTTAAAATATTTTAATGGAGAAAATATACGGTAAGTACCTTTTGCGCAAATAAAGGTTGTTTTGAGAGTCCAAAAGCCAAAATTGAAAAGAGAGGAATGATTTGCGCAATGAAGGCAAACAATAGGGACGTCTAGAGCCAATTATCCATATTTGACGGAAGAATTGACGGAATGAGACGGAAAAGACCAATTTCGCAAGAAAAAGGTTGAAATAAGAGCAAATGCCATGTTTGAAACGAATATAGACGATTTGCGCAATAATGAGGGCATTTTGTGCTAATTACCCATAATTTTATCCAAACATGATGAGAATTGCTCAACTCTGTGAAGACCAGAAGCCGCTATATTAGTATGAATTGAGATAAAAAATAATTTGAATCAACAAGGTATGTAAAGATGCTATTACTAAAGGACCTACAATACTAAAATACTCTCACCACCTCCGAATGGAGGTACCTTCATTTTTAGGCATATTAATCCTTTAGTTTACATCTTTCCAAGTAACTTTGTCAACTAATCAGTAATAACTAAATAAGCATTATTTATAACTTGGCGTTAACTACAAGAATCTATTTTCAGCAATCATGTTTTCCAACAGAACAATATCTTCTAAAAGTTTCGAGGAAGAGCTTTACATTCAAATAATGTTTTTGTTTTGAATGTCCATTTAGACAATGTAAATTATGATCTACCCGCACCACTCGTGAATGGAAGGTTTATTTAATGAGTATGTTATTTATAATTATAATAATGGAACACCATTGATGTGGCAACTTAGGTGGAACAATGTGATATGACAGTTCAAATTTCATGTGAGAGAGGGGGATTGAATTGTCCTATTCCATTATTACACCTACATTATCACATCACCGATATTCCATCATTATAATTATAAATAACATTATTCTTATTTAAGTTTATACAAGACATGCTTCAACAATCTAAAAGTTCCTACAGTCAGGTTATCCTCGCTTAGTGCCTCATCAACATGTTGTGCATAACCTAATACATTAGTTATCCATTCTAATCTTATCACATGTTCATCTCACTGTCCTCTATTTTCTGTTATACTATAACCTATGGACATATTCTCTCCTAACTGCTCAAAAGATGATACCATAAAGTATATCTAGTCTATTACCATTTTATAGAACTTCTCTTTAACTTTGTAGATGAGTTCCAAACAGATAAAACCACTGTAACACCTTTATTTCTTTCAACCTACTCTAATAATATGCATTATGTCAAATCCTAGTATCGCTCTTTGGAATCACATGATCCTGTATTATAACTCCACTACTATTACTTATTTCTACCATGAATCAAAAGGCATTCCACGTATTCCTAGTAAGTTCTTTTAACCTAAAACCCTCAGATTCAATTCTTTCAAAGTTCAAACTTTTGAATTATTCAAATGGATCAAATCCTAGTCTCGTCTGCAAAAACTATATTATCAATGAATGGAATACACTAAATACCTTATTGTATATATTCTTGGTAAATTCATCCATGCCTAAAGCAAAAAAAGATAAGATCTGAAAGCGAAATATACACCCACTCCTATTGTATTAGGAAATTTCCTAGTATTACTCCACTAGATATCACACGCAAAATCGCTTCTTTATTCATACCCCTAAAAATATTCATATATCCAAAGAATTTATTATTTTGTGTAACTAATATCATAGCACTTCTCTAGGAATCCTATTGTATGCCTTATTTCTAACTCAATAAAACCATATGAAAATTTACTTCTCATTTTTACTTCCAATCAATACCTGTAGAATTCTACTAGAATTTTCCTGCATCACAAACTTATTTTCAAAAACCTTCAAATTACCATCTAATATATGCACACTCATACTCTGCTATAATTCAATTACATGTCGCGAGCTTACTACCTTCTATTTTGTATAATATTGAATATCTCCTCTTATAAATAAGGACTACAACATTCATCCTCCATTCATCAAGCATCACTTTACAAAAATATTTCATTGAAGTAATTTAATCAATTACAAAATACCCTTCCAGCCTAGACACTTCCATAGCCCTGATAGGGATTTTATTCAGCAGCATTCAAGAAACGTAGGTGGAGTTTCGGAAAAACTACTTGACCAAAAAACCATAAACATTCAATATCAAGATCATAAATGTTTAAAATCCACCACCATAACTTCAAAAGATAAGGAAAGAATTCCAACAAACAATAAATAAACCTCTTCTAGACCTTCACTCAATAGAGATCTACAGCTACTCTGTAACATAAGGGGAGTATACCCCCTTTCTCTCCCTCTCTCTTGCCACTTTACAGCCTTTTCCTGTGTTTGGCACTTTCAATGATAAATTGCATTTAAACTTCAGATTTACGTGGAAATACATTCTGGGACAGTCAGGAAAGACATATTGAGAAATTTTGCATATTACGTTTATGCATGCGTTGGATGATAGAAATAGAGTAAACAGCAAAACCCACTGAAATAGTAAGCAGGGGTATTGTTTTAACCTGAACAAGTTGGTCCTCTGTTAGAGCCGACAAACTAACCAAAATAGGGAAGCGCCCAATAAATTCTGGTATAAGGCCGTATGCAATAAGATCACTACTTTCGACCTGAAAATATCATGTTTCGTTTTCAGAACATTATCAGAGCTAAGAGTTTATTGTGGAAAAGTAACAAGTTCATGCAAGGCACGGATAATTCTTAGAGATTCAAGAGTCTTTAATCTTACAGAGTCCAGCAAGGATGCTGTTACAGCAGCATCAATCACTCCACCTGCTCTCATGTTAGCACGAACAGGAGCTCCAAACCCAATTGATGAATCCTGCCGTCTGGCAGAAAATAAAAAGATTATATTCTTAAGATTATCAGGAGTCCACAAGAAACAAATAATTTTATTTAACACAGCATCTTCCAGAAAAAGGACGTAAGAAAGTGCAAGCATCACCTTTCAGAAATGGTTTTCTCCAAATCATTAAATGCTCCTCCACAAATGAAAAGGATGTCTTTTGTATCCATCTGATCAAACATAGAAAGATAGAAGAATACATGTTCAGTGGAGCTGTATACATCACTTCATCAAGAAAGATCTACCATGAAGCAAGAAAAGAAAAAGAAAAAAATGAACATCACTTAGTGGGTCTCACTGATAAGAGTAATTTACACAATTATCTACGCCGTTAAATATGAATATTTGAGGTTACTTTTGATGAATTATAGCTTAATCTCCTTTTTATATTGTTACTTGGGTGAAATTTAATGATTGAAAGTGAAATAGAAAGAAAGGAACGAAGAATCAACGAAAAAATCGATGACCAAATTACAAATATTCAATAGTTGATTCAGACCATAAAACGATTGAAGATCACACGAGATCAATTAGATGAGATTAGACGCCAAATGATGAAAATTGCAACTGAAAAGGACTTAAATTGAATGATGGAAGAAAGCTGAGGACCAAAATGAACAACTTCGGAAGAATTTTACTCCATGAGCACAATTTCTTGCGTGAGCAAGGCCTTAATTTTCAAAACCCGAGGCCATTTTGAATATAACTTACGTGAGCAAGCCAGTATACCATACATGAGCATGGTTCAATTTTGGGCAAACGGGAACAACTTTCCTTATACAATGCAAACTCTTTTGGAAATCAATTTTGGACGGATTCTTGACTTGATTTCAACCACTATAAATAGAGAACAAGGGCTAGCATTCAAAGGATCTTTCTCTAGCCTCTCAATTCAATTCATATTATAAAATCATTTAGTCAATTCACAATATTTTGAAGAGAAGATCAAACCTAACAAAGAATCCAGGCAAATTACATGAAGATCTTGAAAAATCAAGGATCAGGTTGAAGATTCAGAACAAGAATTTGCTTCCACATATTTCCTGTATTTATACACATTCTTGGTTATTATTTTCCATCATTATTGTTGTTTTATCATTAGAAACATATTAGACTAGATTTCTTTTGTGTTGGGATGAAGATGAACCTTATCATTGGTTATTTTTTAATTCAAAGACCAAGTAGTTTAGTTTATTTGTGTTCTTAATTGATCTTGTATGCTTTGTTGCATTATTTAATTGCTTAGCTGTCAATTAGGTAATTAGCTACTTGTTATAGTTCAGGGAGGCTCATAATAAGTTAGAATTTTGCAAAATTAACATGTAGGCAATAGATGTTAAGAATAACATATATGACACGTGAAGTCACCTAGATAACTGTGTAATTAATGCATTACTTTGCATATGAATTCGGAATAAGAATATGATCGGGGTCGTGCTTAGAATATGTTAAACTTATCTCGAGAGAGAGTAAAATAAAATTAGATTGTCCATTGTCAAGACATATAAATCACAAAAGCACATAGGCTGAGAATTGAAAATAGGATAATAATATAAGGATACGATTTATTCGCATATTTAATTCAAAACATCTTTAGATAATTAGTAGATTGATTTACAAATAATTAAATCATCCCTTTTGTGTTACATCACATTCGAATTTGATAACAGATTAATAAAATTGAATTTAAAGTTTATTCATCATAGGACGATACTCTTTACTTGTAGGTTTTGTATGAACATTCTCCCTAATGGGGACTGTGCAAATAAACTAATATAACATAAAATTGCAATATTGCTCTAAGATTAGAGAGAGTATACAGATACACACACGCATGCACGCGCACACTCTCTCTCCCTCTCTCTCATACATGTGGTGGGACCATAGCCCCTAAAATTCTAATAAGATTTAATAAGAAAAAAATTATTAATTTATTTAAAAAAAATAAAAGAAATTGTTTTATCTAATATTAAAAAAAAAATTCGGTTCTTATTCGGTTCTTGGTCTAGAACCGAGAACTGAACCAAACCATTCGGTTCTCGATTCGGATACCCGTTCGGGTATTTCATTTAAGAAAAATCGTTCGATTTGGTTCAGTTCGGTTCGGACATTTTGCCCAGCCCTAAGGCAAATTACATGAAGATCTTGAAGAATCAAAGCTAGGGGTTGAAGATTCAGAACAAGAATTTGCTTCCACATATTTCTTGTATTCATACACATTCCTGGTGATGATTTTCCATCATTCTTGTTTTATCATTAGAAACATATTAGGCTAGATTTCTTTTGCGCTGGGATGAAGATGAACTTTATTATTGGTTATTTTTAATTCAAAGAAAGTAGTTTAGTTTATTTGTGTTCTTAATTGATCTTGTATGCTTTGTTGCATTATTTAATTGTTTGGCTGCCAATTAGGTAATTAGCTACTTGTTATAGTTCAGGGAGGCTCATAATAAGTTAGAATTTTGCAAAATTAACATGTAGGCAATAGATGTTAAGAATAACATATATGACACGTGCAATCACCTAGATAACCGTGTAATTAATGCATTACTTTGCATATGAATTCGGAATAAGAATATGATCGGGACCATGCTTAGAATATGTTTATCTTATCTCGAGAGAGTAAAATAAAATTAGATTGTCCATTGTCAAGATATATAAATCACAAAAGCATATAGGCCGAGAATTGAAAATAGGATAATAATATATGGCTACGATTTATTCACATATTTAATTCAAAACATCTTTATATAATTAGTAGATTGATTTACAAATAATTAAATCATCCCTTTTGTGTTACATCACATTCGAATTTGATAACAGATCAATAAAATTGAATTTAAAGTTTATTCATTGTAGGACGATACTCTTTACTTGCAGGTTTTGTATGAACATTCTTCCTAATGGACTGTGCAAATAAACTAATATAACATAAAATTGCAATATTGCTCTAAGATTAGAGAGAGAGTACAGATACACACACGCAGGCATGCGCACACTTTCTCTCCCTCTTTCTCATACACCACCACCCTGGTATCGGGGATTTTAATAACCAAAAAATAGGCACATAATCTCTTGACGCTTACTTTCTCATAAATTTCTCTACCATAACCAAAATGGGTGGCGTGAAGTATCACAATATATATGCAGTGCTCCACATCGAAAACTTCACTAGGGAAAAGAAAGAATGAGAATAATTGGCTTTAACTTTTAAGATTAATGCACAAAAGAGATTCCCACTATTTTTCTTCTCTTTGATCTGCTCCTGCCACCAATCTCTCCCCCTTTAAGTTTTACAAGTTGATTTGAGTATTCACTTTTTATTGCCTTGAAAACTTTGATTTATTAATTGGAAAATAATCTTCATAAGCAGAGGAGTCGAGGGAGTGAATTGAAAGTTTATTTATTTTAAGTTATCCCTCTTGAACAAAAAAAAGAATAAAAAAATGATAGATTTGATTGATTCACAGTGCTAGGTTTACCCATACAACATCAGTGTGATAAAATGGAAATGAAGACTCGAATGGGGAGATGACAACAAATTTCAGAGAAAAACAGACAATTGAACCATATTACCTGAATATTATCACCCCGAGGATGCTTTCTTGCCCCCTTTTCTGGAACATTTACTATCTGGAAGTAAAAAGTATATTCTGATTGCATCGAATAATCACCAAAGTTGATCAAAATCTAAAATAATTGCCGCCGTAAATAGAAAATATGAATCATGATTTACTTCATGAAAGTGGAAAATGTCAAGTGTGATGTACAAAACAATCCAAGTGTGTGAAGTTTTACACAACCACGTACAATTAATAGAAAAAACACAGGAAGTTTAATATCTTTAGATGCACAGTACCTTGCACCTGGAAAAATTCAAAAATTATTAGCAATAGACGTAGAGAATCCCTCCAATGCACTAGTACACTAGATTTTGTGGTGGATTTGGGAAGTACATTGAATTGAGAAAGCTATGTACTAAAGAACGGTTTCCTTACAATTTTTTTTTTTGGTGAAACAGTCGTGTTAAGTCAGTCGAGTAACCTTAACAGCTGGGGAGAAGGTTAGGAATGTAGCAATAGAGTGTAGGAAAGGCCTTCTGGAGGTGACAATTATAGGCTTAAGTTCCGTGACAGGTTTCTTGAAATGACAGAGAGAAAAAGAAAATAGGTGAAGTTCAGAAAAAAATGAAATTTAACTAGTCTCAAAATGAGATCTAAATGGCCTCTTAACTCATAAATCTATAGAATACAAGACTTGGGGCCAAAGAATACTTGCAGAACTAAGGAAACAAGCAAACGAATTTTCAATAGATAAACTTTGACTGAACTCTATTGAAAACTAACTCAAGACAATATAATAGACAAGCTCATGCTGTGTTAGATTTACAGAAGAGCCATCTCTCACAATTGTGACTAAATTTCAACAAGAACAGATATTACCAACATACTCTTAAAAGTGCAAAGCAAATAGGAATCTGAAGTTAAACAATCAGCACAATACACTGAAAGATAAATTACAAAGGACACTCACTACCCTTTGGACAAAAAGTCTTCTTAACTAATGTGGGACTCATATTCCAGTTCTGGGCTTCCAATGTAGTTTCTTTTTCTACGAGTTCCATTTAACTGAATGGATGAAACTTAAACTGCACGAGGAAAAAAATTTCAATATTTCTAGATGTAATGGAAAAAGCCCTATTTAAATCTTCATCGCCATTGGCAAATATGGCAATGAAACAAGATGTCAAGGAAGTATTATTCGATTATTCTATAAGAATTGTGTGCAATAATTAAATTGTTTACAAGGTTCAATCAGAAGTGCTAATCCTCGCAGAAACTTATAGACCAGCAAACTTAGGTGCTGGTTATCAAGTCAAGATGGCATGGTGCCAGACCTAGCTTCTCATCAACACACACCACAAAGCCCTTATGACAATAGAGAAATTACGTACCAATTATCTAAAACCAATTTGAATTGTTATTTCTATAAGTTTGTTTCCTCTACTCTATCTCCTTTTTACCTTTTAAGTGAAAATTTTCTTTTCAACACTTTCAATTACCGAGTCCCATCTTGTAGATACCCCGGCGCAAAGGAGCGAGTCCAGTAACACTGCCAGCTTATGGTATAACCGTTCTGGTTTTGTAGTTATGATAAGTGAACATTTTGAATGATTGGACTCAATTCCAAGTATGCCAGCAACGCTCTTATTCGGGACACCATTTTATGATCACCACTGGTGTAAATTTTCTACAAATAGCCAATTTTCCTTCTAAAGAAACATTCGAAGCCCTTACCTTTTGAATACAAGCCTCAACTTGGAAGTACACTACGACACTATGAAACCTCATTTCAGCCTAAAAACAGTAGACAGCTCCAACTTCTTAGTATGAACTAACCCCGTGTCACACTTCAATATGGATATTCACAATGAACTTCAACAACAAAATATAAGTCTCAACTTTCACGATAAAACCATTATAAAGATATGAAAATCAGAAGAAAATATAACGATGGTCACCCAATCCATCAACATTCTTTCAACTCTATCCAGTAAAATGGATATCCATGGAATGCTGCAAGTAGAACTCTAAATTTTATGATGTCTCCCAATCTATGGTATACTCCATCCAAGTACATAAATTTTCTTGGACATTCGATTGGATAGAGCTGCAAATAAGCCCAGCCAAGCTGAGGTTGCTTGGCCTTGACCTACATGAATTATGATCAGGATGAGTTATGCGTGTACTCCTACAATCCTGAAAAATGTCAGATCAAGCTCAACAAAAGACTTATAGTTGCCCATTTTTCCAAATTCACAACAGCATATTTTGTTGAATCACCTCTTCTAATACCTTTAGCTATTAGAGTAAGTGATAAACTGGTTTATTTAATTCCTTTTTTCAATATGCCCCTTCATGTGTAGGTCTCATGTTTTATGGTGAGTCGGAGACATAATAACATAAAGTAGTCAATCTCAACTGATGTAATCTCCATCAAAGATATCTCCCAATTATTCTCCTGTTGTTTGGTAGAGATTAAAATCGGATTAAAATTGAAAAACTAGCCGTTATTGACGACTTTTATTAGACGAGTGTGACCTAATAACGGCTATATTTTCAATTTTAATTGGATTAAAATCCCTCCCAAACAAGCTCTTATAGTTGCCCATTTTTCCAAATTCACAACAGCATATTTTGTTGAATCAACTCTTCTAATACCTTTAGCTATTAGAGTAAGTGATAAACTGGTTTATTTAATTCCTTTTTTCAATATGCCCCTTCATGTGTAGGTCTCTTGTTTTATGGTGAGTCTGAGACATAATAACATAAAGTAGTCAATCTCAACTGATGTAATCTCCATCAATTATGTGAAATCAAAGGAGAGTCTCGCCGATCAGATAACTAAGGCTTACCAGAATTAATTTTTAGCACAAGAATGCATGTGCAAATTTTTCATAAATAGTAACAAGGCTTGAACTCAAGAGTATGTTGAACCACCTCATATGAAAGTTTAAATTGTTAATGAAAGGGCATATTTGTTTACTTAAATTTTGTCTCCACTTCATCTCAGAATGTTTCTTTGCTTTTGGAGGCTTCTTGGAGGAGGAAGATAGAGGAGAGTGAGAAAGAGAAAGAAACTTGGTGCGAAAGCGTTTATGAAATTCTTGTAATAAGAATTATGTCATAAATAAGAATGATATTTGAACAATCATGTCTTGTATATATTGAATAATAATTGATTGTTGTTGAAAAGTGTACAATGCCTTTGTATTTATAGGTAAAACTATTCCATAATCCTATTAATATAAGGAAACTAAATTCTAAAAGGAAATAAATTGAAATCCTAATCTAAAATAAATTATAAATCATATTCTAATAAATAAAGAAAAGAAATTCTATTCTAAATAAAATATCAAAATAAAAAGATAAAACTTATTACAACTAGATATCTTATTATAAATATATAACCCTAATCCTATTTACAATAGGATTGTCCTACATCAATCTCTCCCACTTGAAAAAACTCGTTCTCGAGTTTTGTTGAAGAAAGGAATCCTTGATAACTTGTGTGTATTTGAACTTGGCTGGGACTCGAGAAAATTCTCTAACCACATGTTGCCATGTTCCATGCTTGTTGAAACAACCAACATTCACAGCAGTTAAGGCCTGCAAATTCTTGTTAGCTTGCTTCTCCATGGGCTCATGATTCCTTTCAAAACTCAACGCAGTCAGCATCTGCGTAATGTTGGGAAGAGTTTCATCTATCTCCTCGATTCGTTGTTCGAGTTTGTCGAGCCTCCGTTCGTCGTCGGTGATTCGACTGCCACCAGTACCTTCGTTGGCCATCGGATTTGTAAAACTAGAAAAGATAAGAGAGTTATTTCCTTCTATTGTATTCATCAATCTCTTAGGTATATATACAAGTTACAAATCCTAGGAAGGAAAACTAATTACGTCAAATCCCTACAAATCAGTGCCAAATATATTTATTTCCTATTCTAGAAATGTAGTCTGTAACACTCCCCATCAAGCTGGAACATAGATATTTATTATGCCCAACTTGTTATAAAGATAATCAACCTGAACCCCATTTAGAGCATTTGTGAAAATATCTCCCAATTATTCTCTTGTTTTCACATACCCTGTAGAAATCAAACATTGCTAAATCTTTTCACGAACGAAATGACAATCAATCT